CTGCCCAATGCTTTTTCTGAGCAAGACAAGCAGTTAGCTATTGCCGCTTACTGGCAGATGTTTCCTGACAGTCAGAAGCCAAGCCAGGATATGGAATTAACACAAAGACCACACATGATGCTCCATCTGTCAAAAATCTATCAGAAAGGTAGCCCTGATAGACTTCTTGCAACATGAGGTAACACTGGGCATGAAAAAAAAAAAAAAAAAAAATCATATTCCAATAACAAGAGGTTTTAAGACACAAAAGTAGTGCCTGCCTTCAAGCTATTGTTCCTTTAATTCCCAGAAGCAAGGTCCAGGCTTTCCTGATGAACTGCTGAGACAAAGAGCAGCTGCCGAGAATTCAAGCAGAGAATTTCACAAGGCAAAAGCCATAACCTTCACAGAAGCACAATACAAACACTAGACCTCATCTCCACAGTCAATAAGGGTGTCTACAGACTCATCCACATCTGGAATGGCTCCAACTATATACATATACATATATGTGTATCTGTCCAACTATATGGCCCTGAAGCATGCAGACTCATGCATACAAAACAAACCCACTCTTAAATCACAGAAGTATAGAATAATTCAGGCTGGAAGAGATCTCCACCACTAACTCCAAACTCCAAAATATGCAATTCATATTTATTTTCCTATAAAACAGCAAAGGAAGGCAAAAGACTGTTATTTCAACTTAGAAACAGTTCAGAAAGTTCTGAGATGATCTAATCATGCGCTATATATGACACACAATTCTTCGTTCAGCCCATTAAGAATATTACCAAATCGCTTGTATTCGGTATTGTACATTAAACCTTGCACTTGTAGTGTGACAACTACTCCTGAACTCACAAGGTTTGTGTAAATTACCCAGTCTTATTTGGAGACATCTCCATATAGGAGACATACATGGAGACATATAATGGAGCAGACATGTAATAGCCATCCAATGTCTGTTGCCCCCATTAGCTCAGGCATCATTACAAAGTACTAAATTTCATTAGGCAGATTTACCAATACCCACCCTACTTTTGCCACACGAATAATGCATTAAAGGCATGGTCCGTCTGCAGAATTGTACCCCTGTGTAGACACGTTTGTTCCATTCACTACACTGAGCATGTGCATTCTAAACTTTATCCAAGGAGTTGTATGCTGGAGAACCACATCCAACTTCTCCAACATCTATTTATCAATACAGCTGGAGAGAGTTGCCTAAAATAAACAGCTAGGCCATTATGTTTATCTAAATAACGAGCTTACATTATACATTTCAAAGCAATAGCTTTGATGGAATTTAAATCCCTCTAGAGAAAAGCAGTATTTAGCCACAAGCATATAACTGTTCCACCAAAATATATATATGCATGAATATTTTAGGACAGAAAAGATCATTGTCATCTGCACACTGCATACATAAACAAGGAAATTCATCTCTGATTTCCACATCACACCTGTAACTCCTCAAGTTAGATATTTCAGAATGACAGCCTTGATTTTCAGAAAGCCAGCTCAGCTTTTGGAAGGTACTTTAAGAATTAATTCTTCTCACTCCTAGAAATGTTTCCAATTTCAATTGTTATTTTATTTTCCATTTCAGTATTTTAACTTCCAAGACATTTTGGTACATTAAGATTCCTTCCGCCATTAGTGTCTGCTCAGACATCAACATTCTCAGAGCTCTTCACTCAGGATATATAATACAGATTTGATTTTGCATAGCACCTTTCATTCAAGCATCTGAGAAATTCCTCATGTGTATTTATGAGTGTTAAACCGCCTATAGAAATATCCCCATTTTGCAGATAAGCAAACTGAAGGAAAAGACACTAAAAATAATATTCTTCAAGAGGATGAAAGTAACAAGTGATGAGACCAAGGTGCTTATGTATTTCTGGGAAGGCAGGGTCAGGAAAGCTCTCTGAAGTCACAGAGTGCCCCTGGCAGAGCCAAGAGTAAAACCCTCATGGTCAGATTCTTATACCTGGAGTTCTATAGCAAGGTCATTATGATTTGAATACATTACTTCTAGATACCATTGTATAAAGTTGAAGTGTACAAGTCTGTATTTAAAACAGCTCAGAAAGGCACTACAAATTTAATACTAACTTTTCAATTACATTAAGGGTACAAAGTATCCAGCACAGGAATGCAACAGGCTTTACACTGCCTAAGCAACTGGCTGTTTTCACCCTATTTCATACAGTAAGGCACTTTAAGCCTAATAACTCATAAACACCTGTACTTGCAGCAAGACCAAATTCGCCTTGGCAGCTGCTGAAACTTTGACCCATGGCAGAGACAATGAAGACCTCAGCCCAACAGTTTAGTCCCCAGTGACTCTGTCTCAACGGAAATGCACACACTCAGCTGCTTCTTTTCACATTTGAACCTGGAGGAAAGCTTTTTCTGGGTCAATGCACATTACTGAGTAGATGAAAGAACTTAATTGGCTTTCCCCAAAATGCAGCTAATAGCTATCAGAGTATATTTGGAGAGGAGTCTTATTAGGCACAGACCTCTTACTCTCACAGCCTTATGTCATATAAAGCAGTAGGTCAGATCATAGTAAGAGGCAGAAAATGACGGTGTCTCCCATCCCAGTAGATGGGATTGCATAACCAGAAGAAAGTAAATTTTCAGTACATTTATATAACCTTTCTTACAACTCCAATATTATTGCTCAAGCATGCTGGGACATAAAGGTTACTGAGATTTTACTACTATTTTTAAACTGAGGGACATGGGCTTTCATAAATGGCCAGCTTTATACAAAATGAACATCTGTCCTGAGATTTACACACCTCATAAAGTCCTTTCTATCTGCATTAAGGCATTTCTGAAAGTTCTCTAAAAAGTGTTTCCCCTTGACTGAAGATACATCTTCCCTATTGTGCTTCCATTAAGAGTCTGAATATCACTAATAAGAAAACTGAACATCTACTCCAAATCGTGATTAACTTAATTAACCTACCATACGCTTTCATAGTATTCTATTATAATCAATGCAATTAGATGGGGAAAAAGTATCTCTTACTTCCAAAGATACTCAGACATATTAGATATGCCATTTAGAGATTTTGAAGACAAATGTTTTAAAATGCAGACAATAAAAGCATATGTTTAGGGATGTTAAAACAACAACAGAAATACCACCTGAACATGGCTCAAATAAACTAGAAAGTCTTCTCTGCACATCCTGGATGGCTTTGGAGGTTTTTCCAGGATGGCAGCTTATTAGCTGTAACTGATTGTCACGGCTTTGAACTAAAACTATTCTAGCTCCTGAGAGCAGTTTTGGTTTGCTAGTGTAATAAAGGCATGATTCACAGAAAACATCTTTGACATTTCTGGGCTATGTAAGAACTAATACTAGGTCCCTGACCGCCTCACACACTGAAATCCTAACATCTTAAGGTCCTTTCCAACATGAAATCCTCATCTTGTTGAAATATGTAGGAATTCTGCATTTGATTTCATATGGTCAGGATCTCACCACACTACCAGAGCAACAGTAAGCAAACAAGAATAATTCAATCTTTTACAGTGTTCTTGAGACCACAGCAGGAGAGGCCATTTTTTACATCATCCAATTCTATCTGTAACCCTCCACCAGTTTTGTGACATATATTAAAACTTCCATTAAAATCAAGGATTTATACTGATACGTTAGTAATGATAGCAAAGAATCCAAATTCTTACCTCTTTGCCAACGTGAGTAATTTGTACAACTCTAAAAATTAATTTTGTAGGAGTCATTGAGTAGTCCAGTGTGCAGTTCCTGGCTGTGTGCACCCTAGCTATAAGCAAATCTAAATACCATTCACTTCCTGGCTGCTCTGTTGTAGGAAAAAAACAAAAAGGGAGAAGCAAAGCAAAGGAGGAGAGGATGGATCTCCTTTGATATAAATAGAGGAAAGACCATTGCAGAGACACAAAAAAAATGAAGGATTTAAAGGACTGTCTCAGGAATAGAGTAAGTCAGCTATTACCAAACCTTTCACATAACATCGTGTCCATGAGAATCTTATGTGTTGTACTACACTCTGGTATCTTGTCTATATCTATACAGGGGTGTGTCGGGTTCACATCATAAAGTAGGGCTACAGCATTAAGGAGCTTTACTGCTATCCTTTGAAGCACACAACAAAACTAGAGCCTACATGCCTCCATACGAGTCAAATACACTACCTGATTGGAGTTTGGTTTGGATTGTTTTTAAGAAAGAGAGGGAAAATAGTTCCATGGACTCCCCACTCTGCTTCCAAGATTAAATATGTACACACATATGCATACACAGCAAGTCCAGAGGACAGCCACAAGGATAAGGGGACTTGAGCACCTCCCATACAAAGACAGGCTGAGCAAATTGGGGCTGTTTAGCCTGGAGAAGAGAGGCTGTGTGGAGACCTCATAGCAGCCTTCCAGTATCTGAAGGGGGCCTACAAGGATGCCAGAGAGACTCTTCACTAGGGACTGTAGTGATAGGACAAGGGGTAATGAGTTCAAACTTAAACAGGGGAAATTCAGGTTACATATAAGGAAGAAATTCTTTCCTGTTAAGGTGGTGAGGCACTGGAACAGGCTGCCCAAAGAAGCTGTGAATGCTCCATCCCTGGCAGTGTTCAAGTTCAGGTCGGACAGAGCCTTTGGTAACATGGTTTAGTTTGAGGCGTCCCTGCCCATGGCAGGGGGGTTGGAACTAGTGGATCTTAAGGTCCTTTCCAACCCTAACTATTCTATGATTCTAAAACAGAAATTACTGTCAGATCAGACAGAAGAGCCATAGCAATTCAGATAAACATTTAAATAATGCAATACTGTCTTGGCTACATAGCCATGCTTTTTTCATGCTCTCTCTACATGAACTATCCAGGCAGAATGGAGAGAGTTGCTGCACTATAAATATACAGACTGTTTCAGTAAAAACAAACAAAACCTATATTGAGAACAAGCAATAAAAAAGTTCTACAATAAAGTATTCTGAAAACCAAACCACAAGCCAAATATAGAATCATTCACACAAGCCATTTATCAACCTCAATTTTATCATTCTCCCAAAGCCGTGACATGAAGTCGTATAATCTTTTGGGGTTTTATGAAATCCAGGATGGTTTCTCTGGCTGTTTTTCAGACCTCTGCTGTGGCTCTTACCTTCTTTTTTTACGGTTTGATCATTCTGACTGAGAGCTCTTCTGAAAAAGCAAGTTACACTCAGTCATCCTCTGGCTTTTGCACACAATGAAATTGTTTAATCACAGCCACCTGGTTTTATATGTGATGTATGTGAAAGTGATTTTAAATGCTTTTTAAACCATTTCTATTGTTTTGAACCAATCTCAAATTCTTTTCCTTCACTCCCTCTCCCCTCCAAGAAAACATGACTACGTCTAAAATAGTAAGAAATGCATAAAGTAAGGTCTGTAGACAATTGCTGTCTTATTCACCTCATTGACGTTTCCATCTGAGATAATTTCCTATCCAGATAGGATTTTAGGCACAGGTATTGTAGAAACCTGCCCAGCACCTTAACTTCAAAGTTCATGTGATTACATGGGCAAAATCTCATCTTTTGAAAACAAACTGCTTCAAGATCTTGACAAAAAATCTTGCAAGCCTGAACTTAGTGCTCATCTCAACAACCTCTGCAACTACCCCTTCCTCTTTTGTCTACCTTCCACACCGTGAAACAGCATATGTGGGCTGGAGCTTGTCTAGAATATACCCCTAGGACACACTATACATGATCAAGAACATCATAGTCTAAAAGGCAGAAGAAGTATGGTCAAAAGGCAGACAAGAAGCAGTACAAACATGCATATGACCATGCTAAAGGCAAACTTTCTGTACAGTGCATCTGCTACTGGAGAAGTTTTCCAGTTAAGTGTTTGTGAAGAGTTCAAAAGCCACAAGCTTCTGGAAAATAGTAGGGCACAACAGCAGATCAGACCCCTTTTCTAGGGCCTTTTAACTGCTGCATGTCAAAGTCTCTGTTGTCACTGCTGAAAACTCCAGTGTTACCCCACCACATCTTTTCTAAAATTTTAACCATGGCAAATGGCAATGACTCGCTTCATTGTTCCTTATGGATTTACTGAAAGACAAGAAGGAAAACAATGTTATGATATTAATGCCACACGTACTTCTAGTTACACTACTGCTTCTAGACCCGCTCCTCATACTTCCAGTTATTTACATAAGAGTCTCCCTACTACTTGTCTAAGACATTATTTGCAAAAATACAGTCTTGCCCCTACAGAATAATCAATGTTTGTGGTTGCTGCTATGCTACTGACCTATCTTTCTCTCTAGCTACCATCTGCTTTCATATCATTATATTCACAGTCCTGCAGTTGTCAAGGAATGAATAGTTTGCCTATGATTTTTTAGAAAAGTGTAATAAACTCTGTCAGTTTCAGAGTTTTCTGCGCAGCACAGAGCTACTGAATGCGTGCAACTGAATCAAATGCAGGCAGTTAGGCATAACAGTATTATTAATATAAAGCAACAGAAGAATCCACACAACAAACATTACCCAGACCTCAAAGCACCAAGTCTAGCCTAGGAATCTCCAAGCCTCCAAGTATTAGAAGCGTTTCAACCACATGCTGTTGGGAATATGGGTATTCCCAGACAAAGCCTCACTGTCAAAAGGCTAATTCCAGAGCACATGACTCCTCAGAAAAATCTTCCAACCCAAATTTCCGTAACATCAGCACTCTCTCACAGGACTATCTCTGTGTCAGACTAGTTTACCAGCCTGTCTCTCTGCCTCTCCATCTCTGAATTCACAGTTTGCTGTACTGGACCTTCATTTCTTTTTTCCTCCCCATTTTCCTCAGTAGATGCTTCTTGAACTGTAAAGTGGGAACAGCTAGATTAGGACAGAAGTTTGGAACTGAATTCTGAAGTCCATCCCTTCAGCCACAAAGTTTAACAAAAGCACACTTAGCTTGAGGGTGATGCTGATACTGGCTTCTCAAGGAGTCATAAGCAATGTGCTAGCCATATTTCCAAGGCAGTCAATATTCTGGGCTGAAAATTACCCCCTAAGCTCAAACCTGAAAGACATTGATGACAAACCTTATTCAAAATGAAAGTGTACCTACTAACAATTGGAATAGTCTGTACAAAAGAGAAGAAGTTGTCCTTGAGACCAGGTCTAAACTCTGGAAGGAGGGACTGCAGAAACTAAGGATCACACAGACGATCTTCTGCTCCAGGTTCCCCCTTTGGACTTTGCCTTCCCAAACACAGAGTAAATGCCTAGTAACATGCACACTGACAAAAACAGTTGTAAAAGCAAAGATTAAGTATTCCCAGAATTCTTTAATGTATGAAAAACAATGAATTTCACATGTCATGAAGTCATGTCACAAAGCACAATAATAATGTATTTGTATGAACTGCTATAAAGGCAGCACAAAAATACTTTGGTAAAGTTACCTAGAAAACATTACCAGAAAGCTATACTAGTTCATCTGAGCCCAGCTTCTCACAATGCAACCCTGAGTTGTGATAAACTTAGCTCTTTTACAGGAATTTTATACAATACCATCTAGTCATAACCTCCAAATCCCACTGGAAAATAAAAATAAAAATCTAACTGAAAGAAAACATTCACAAAATTAAGATCTAAAAAATAACCACAGTCTCAGCTATAACCTATTTTCCATTCCCATTTAAAATCTACAGCCAACAGGACAACGAGAAATTACAAACTGGAGTTTTTAAATGCTTCTGTGTGTAATGTCATTGGTATGACTTCTGTCTTTCTAATACAATATAGCCTATTGAACTATGTTCCAGCAAAGTATGTAGGACCTTGAAGATATTCTACCACAGGCATCAATTAATGAGGCCATGTCCTAGGAGGATAAAATTGAATTAGAAAAAGAATGGCAATAAATTCAGAATAGGCATCTGTGAAGTAATTTGAAAAGAAATTTCTTCCTGGCAAAGAACAAAGCAAACATTTTGCAGGGGTCATAAGAAGGGTTTGGGGAAAGCACTTTGTTACTCAATTAATGCAAAGTGATTCTACTGCTTTAAAATCTATAAACTGTATTAATAGCCAAGCCATTACTTCACAAGAAGCGTCTGTGAGGCCTCTGGATGTTTATTATTAATATTATCCTGGTCCAAAAATGGCTAGCAATTATTACCAGGCCATTAATTGCGACAAGCTAGTTTTATTTCGTGCGCAAGTCTGTGTTTGTTTGGTAAACCTCTTGTAACCCTTTTGGGATTATGGTGTCCCAGTATGTTCCACCAATTCCACATATATTGTGTATCCAAATACAATGTTCCATATTCCAGTTTCCATAATACCAAAGTTACTACTGAGATAGAAAATTGACATCAGATTTCTTTAAATGTAATTACAGCAAATAGTGGCTTCCAAACATAACTTTTAATATCTTACTTCTATTTCAAATCCAAGTGTATTAGAATTATTGTAGTAAGACTGTTTGGGCTGAGGTGGGAAATCATTTTAACACATCATGGATCTAGTGCCCAGTACCAGTTGCTGTGCCTGGGCATGTGGGCCCAGGCAGTGGGACTCCACCATGTCTCTTTCATACTATCAGAAGGATGACAGAGAATCTGTGGCTAAGGTCAGCTAGCACTCTCTCAGGCATTTAGCTGCTTCTGTCGAGAAGCTCCTTCCAATCAGGCAGTTGGGATGTGACCAACTCAAAGATGGTTTAATACCTGCACATAGCCAGACCATTCTGGCTCATTCCGGCTCATTCTGGCTGGAGAACAGATCTTTGCTTCATTAGTATCCTAACAGAGACATAGCTAACATGTATCAGAAAGAAAAATCTGTGCCAAGTACAGTAGGTAGCCAAGTATTCATTTGATAAATGCCACTTAATTATCCACCATTTTGAAGGAAGTCTCCAGTGTGCTTATTGTGCTCGCTAGTCTTCCTCTTCCGTGAGACAATGACAGATTACATAGATCTGCATGGTAGTAACTTCTGAGTTCAGAGTATTAAGCTGTTTGCAGATGGAAACAACAGTTCACCTAACTTGCAAGCATTTCAAAATCCAGTTTCTATATTCATAAGCGAACTATACTACCTAGATGCCTTTCCTTTCATATGTCTGAACTGATTTGCTTACAAGTATAACTTCTGTAAACAGTGTTTAACATCATTTTTGCAGATCATCGTTCTTTGACACACAAAGACAAATAGTTTAAAATGCATCTTAGAGAGACAAGAATTAATCTCTTAATTTTCCGAAGTCAAAAGACAGGAACGCTTAAAAAAAAAAAAAAGAAACACTACCATGTCTTTTGGTCTTACTATTTTATTCATTAGTTACATTCAGGGGTATAAACAACTTTCATCTTTACAACTGCAACTTGCTATACCTCATCCTTTTTCTGCCTTCCTTTTGTTTTGGGTTTGTTTTTTTTTTCCTATCTTCAATATTCCATTTTTACCATTTGCTCGATTTTCCACTTTCCCTTCTCCCCTGCCTTCTTCCTTGGTTTTTGTCTGTTATATGTAATTTAACTTCTTCCTACAGAAATAAAGTCACACTTCAGGTGAAAAAAGTTAACTGTTAAAAACACTGTAATTTATAGCAAGAAGTACACAACTGCCAAGTCTCAGACAGTGTATCAGCTTTACTCAGTTGACCTCCAACAGCCCTACCATGACATCCATGTCTCCAGAACAGCATAGTTCCATGGTGCATCTCTTTTTCTGAGTCCAGTGGGCTGCCTCATACTTTATGCACCAAGACTGTCTAGCACAAGATAATGCAAAAAAGAGAAGCTACAGCAGCTAAGATATGTACACCCTGTCCAAGTAACACTTCCTCAGGAAAGCTAGTCTGCTGCAGCAAAATGCTGCCCCAAGACATGATGCTGCCTTCACACTTTTCATAAAGGAACACAATGTACATCTAATGTACAGTGTCAATACATGCCAAATTTCACATTTGAGTAAAAGATAGTGTCTTTAAAGTATCATATCTAAAAATACAGGTAATAGGATCAAGTCAATTGCCAGGCTAGAATACACTTGGCAACCCTGCCAACTCGTATGAAGAACAGCAAGCACTACAAAGGAAATGTAATTCTCAATTTATGAGTTTTTCCAGTACAGAGGAAAATAGTTTGATATCCTAATAACTCTGAGAGCTATTGATTTATCTGCAGTGTCTTGCACACTGAACCCTAACAAATCATAAGTAGATTTTCAATAATAACAAACAAAAATTGGACTTTTTTTCATTACAACCTACCTTCTTCTGTATTTCCTCTGTATTTTAATATGTGATATGCTTTTGTTAGCTTGAATTACACAAAGGAGAGTGTACACTTCAGTGCTTTTTCAGCTGCAATTTTACACCTGCAACTAAATGGATGGACAAGTAATAGCACTTTTTTTTTTTCATTTAATACATAGCAAAATGTAAGTGATAAAATTAATACCATACAAACTCGTTCTTCAACAATAGGCAACTGGTTACAGATAAGCAGAGCCATTTACCATTTATTCAGGTTCCATTCAGATGGAGAATGTGAAAAAAAAAAAATCTAATTCTATTACTGTTACCACTAACACACCAAATTTAACACAAAAAGTGAAGCTTTTTAACTGCTTCCTAATTAATCTGCTTTGAAGGTGGTTTATATTGACAAAAACTAAAAGTACTTTTGGAATTCTGCCCTTTATTGGAAAAAAGTAGCATGGCTATCATTGGATAGATGTAAAAAAGCTTGTTTTGATTTCATATCCACTCTCTGAACTAAGGCTACAGATCCCAGCATAAGTTAGAGGCATCAAACTATAAACCCTTACCATGCTGAGTTAAAAAAATTAAGCTCCACTAACCAACTGCCAGAATGAGTAGGCTATTAGTGTCCAACTGTATCAATGCTTCATTGAAAATGTCTTTCCCACTTTCCAGCCAGAGTGAATTACAGAAGTATGCAGTTTCAACAGGCTCAAATTTTAGCCCTTTTTGTTGATGGGTTTAAAAACCATTGCACTGGTGTGCAATTAACTGTACTTGTGAAACAGCAAAGGAAAATAACAATGCATATAAAGCCACATTTTTTCCTCTTCCTCTGTAGTTCTTCATCTTTAAACTAGTTTCCCTGAAAAGTAACCTAAGCTATATTTTATACCTCTTGTGATTTTTAAAATCTGTTTGATTATATGTACCTAAAGCATTTTTCATTGAAGTGACAAAATCCTAATTTCTCTGATTCAATGAGAGTTTCATCATTTCGCTCAGTGGGACAGAATTAAAAGCAATGTAAAAAAAGTCTTTTGTTTCTACTTATTTTAGTTGGAGGAAAATGGTCACACTTCCAACAAAAGGAACAACTGACTAAAATTCTAGTGGGATATAAATAATGAGCCATTTATATAAATGCACACAAGAGTAAAGCAGCAACTGTCTTCTAAGACTTTTCAGAGACCTTATACACAAAAAGGTACTTCATTGTTTCACTTTACACGCCTATTTTCCTGAAAATCTCTGCTACATCATTACTTCTCACTGATGGTGTTTCTCAGATGCCCAGTTTTGGTAAGGTAGCCCTGCAATTCCCTGTCTCTCTTTTTTTTTTTAGGTACTGAAACATGGAGAATAAAAAAGAACAATAACCTTCCCCAGCGTGAAACACAGAAGAGCAGAGGAGATTACTGAACAACAACAACAACAAAAAAAAGCTTCTTTCTCAGGTCTTTTGGTCATTCTTTTCAAAAAATGCCAAGTGCTCCTTTTAATATTTCTGTCACCAAAAGACCAAAGTAAGAAAACTGAGCGATACAAACATGTTCTGCTACTGCTGCAGATAAAAGGTTTCAAGTAGCTCTGTATTACAGATATCCATCTCATTTGGCTAGCTGTACAAAAAAATAAGATAAAATTGATTTTTAAGAAAAGGCACCGAGGCAAAGTCATGAAGTTTAAAATTATTAATCCTGTAATAAAGTTTGGGAAAGAGAATGTAATTCCATTTATACTAAGAGACCAGTATAATCTGACTACTTCAGTACTAAGTTCAGTCATCAGGTCCACTTGAGCTGCTCCTGACAAGATTCACCCATGTGAAAAGCAATTACATATATACACCATTACTGTGGCGTGTATAAATGGTTAATGGTGGAATAGAGTAACAACTTCATGCTGCACAGTTACACTGAAGTCTCACCATGGAAGTTTAGAACAGCATTTATTCTCAAAAACTTCACAAAGAGTGGA